CCTACACCACCTTTTCTCTTTTTTTAACTTATTTTACACAACTACAAACTTAGTTATCTGGAGTAGGTGATCCTGACCTACATAGGATCCATCCTCACAACCCCCATAAAGAAAAACAAAACCAGAACAAAAATTTCCATCCTATTTTTCATACTCCTCCTGCTACCAGCACCTGAGTCAAATCCCAAATATAGAAACCATTTAATCACTGACCCCACCGTTTAATCTGCTTCAACACTGATGTGCTGAGCACAGCAGATCACTCATGCTTGCTCATGTAGAGAGGCAGTAACTGATGAGACTCACTAGCAGTCACATTCTTTGTGATATTGGTACTACTCAACCTAATCTTGCCAAGATCCAGAGTCTGGTTTACAATACCAGCACTAGCATCAAAGGTAATTTAATTTCAGTGCAGACATTGCATTAAATATACTCTGTAAAATATGCAATGTTATTAATAGCCTATACCACAGTGGGTAGTGATGAGAACTAAAGTTAAAGAAGAAAAGTTGCCATTATGTTTGAACAATGCAGCTATGAACATGGGCACTACTAAATCTGAAGTGTTTAAGATCTTGTGACATTAAAGTTCATAACGAAAATAAATCAAAGCATGCCCTGGTCTTGATGAGTTACCATCATGAGACACAGCTATCACACGGGTGGCAATACAAGATTTTATCTCACCCTTACAGATTTTTCCATTTTCCAAAACGACATGAGCTTAGTCAGACACACTCCATTATTCCATACTAAATGAAGAAGCTGTAAACCCAGTCACCTCATGGTGAGAGCAGACTGTGTTCACACTGCCACCCTTCGGAGACCTTGGGACCTCCAAGGGAGGACAAAATATTCAGTGTTACAAGCAAAACTCTGCTGAAAGGAATACAGTTAAGTGGAAGTTGCTACCACCATCGCCTAGTGTCATAGCTGGAAGCACTAGAAATCACATCTTCCTACTTTCAAGACCAGTAAATGCAGAAGAAAAGAATCTGGTCTTGCAGTATTATTTCCCTTTCATTACATATGTATACCTGGGGGACCCTACTGATTGCAAAGCCTGAATGCTCCTGAAACAATGTAATCCAGTCTCCAGTTGGTACTCTCTTACATTAGTTATTTTTCCAGGATCAGTAGCAATAAATCTAATTCCTGTGAAGTAGGAATAACAACTATGCCTCCCACATAAGGGGCATCCTCGTGTTTGTTCTGACACAGTTAACATGGACCAAACGTCACTGTTTGCATAGCTTCAACCTCACAGAAGACAAAAGAGAACTATGAACTACCAGCTACCCTCTAAACGGACACTGCCTTCAAGTAACATTATACTTTTGACTGCAAATCCCTTAAATTAGTATGGGCATAGTCTTCCTTTACTGCAATTTCACAATTTTGCTATGATTTAGCCAAACACCTGTATGAAGTTTCATAGCATGGCTAGTTAGGATTTTTTTTTTTTTTTTAATGGTTTGTTGCTGTCAGAGAAGACTGTTTGTCAGAATCAACTTCATTTACTTTCAGGGAGACTGCTGGGTGGGATAATGGGTGGATATGTGTTTCCAACTCGACATAGGTCTCAGAGGTGGGTATAAAGAAAAGCAGGCAGACTCTTGAATTGTGCTACAGTTTTGGGTGCTGCAGCAGCTACTCCTCACTTCAAGAGATGGCCAACATTGCTGCCTGTGCCCACTGCCCTGTGACTTTGCATTGGGCAGAGCAAACCTCTTCACTAAAGACTGAGTGCAACTACCACAGCCGTTCAGGTATTCACAGATGCTGCCTAGCACCATTGCACCCTGACCTTCTGCGAAGAGTCACCAGGTCTGCCCTAGCAGGAAAAGGTGAGAAAGTGACACTATAACATGCTGGTTAGAGCCCTCTAAAAATAAACTAAACCTATCCATAGAAGAGGCTAACACAGCTCTCAGGGAGCACACCAACCACTTGTATTATGCAGAGTTAGTATAGACCAGAATATTTGAGGAGAGAAGGCAAAGGGGCTTTTCACTCTTTTCCTCAAGCATCTCTCCCTGGTTCATGATTTGGTACAGTGTGAGAATGGAAAGTTGGGGGTTTTTTTCCAAAAAGAAACTATTGCACTCCTTACAACGCAGCCTTGGTACACTTTTAATTCTTTCACCTCAGTAGGAACCTGAAAATGACTACTAAGGTCAGTCACCCAGGTTGTTAATTCTAGAGATATTCCAGCCCACTCCAGTGTCCCTGGCAACACAACCATGTTTCACTAAGCAATAAATAGTGTAGCAGAAATTCAGAGCTGTCTGTGGGATGCTGTTGTAAGCCTAGTATTATAAATCTGTTGCTATAGCAGGGCTATACAAAAATGGTTGTTTAAACAAGGTCCAGGAGATCTGGAAGTATTTTATGACAATTTATGCTGCCATCCATACTAATCTACTTCATAAAAGGAAGAAGCTGTAAGTATAGCTCAATGGTACAAGTGAACATTTTTACGGTATTTTAAGACACTTAATATTTACACATGCTTTAAGAATCTTTTTCAAAATGCAGTATACAATGCTTATTGTGCAGTGAATTATTTTTTTGAAATATTGCCTAAATGGAGGTTCTTTGGACACAGGAAAAATAGCAGAACATACAGATTAAAGGGATAAAGACTCAGTATTTGCTGTGACCCTTGGTTCATTTACAAGGTGCATGCACCATATCAAGTTCATTTGTGATTTCCTGCTCACCTCCTCCTCCCCCCTCAGTATTGCAGATTGGTTTCACAGCTGCTGGTTGTGCCCTGCCCAGCATGGCAGACTCTTCCGAAACGGGACATGTTACACATCAAATACGGAAAGTGTGCCTGCCTGGAAACTTCCTATACTCAAAGGAGAAACTTGTGAACACAAGCTCTATATACTATCATGTAAATAAATTAGTGGACAATTGGGAGAAACTGTCCTTTTTCAACATGTGTTAGACTGAGTTAATTATCAGCTAACTGCTAAAACTTTTCAGAACAATTAGGCTCTGACTGTCATCCAACACTTAATAAAATATTTAATGTGTGTGTCAAACAGCTTATTTGATTTTTATTTTTTTTTTAAAACTACATACAGCTTTCCCTTTTTGGAAAAAATATACCATAAGGGCATGTTCCATTCACGGTGTCTAAGAAAAATGGTTGAATCAGATTGGCCATCAGCTTCAGATCAGTCCAGGAAAACAGGAAGCAGTACATGGAGAAGCTTTAAGATTTGCCAGTAGTGACTCAGACTTTTCTTTAAGTGTTCTACCCCACCCCTGAAGGAAACATTTTCATTGTTTGTCAGTTTCAGTATTTAAAAAAAAAAAAAAAAAAAAAAAAAAAAAAATCAATCGTTTTACCATCTTCAGGTACACTTTTGAAGTGAATTAACTTCTTGCTGCTGCAAAGAGAACTTTCTTTATAGGAGGACTCAAGAGGCCAGCAGACCCTGAATGTGAATGTAGAAGACAAAGTTAGTCTTCTCCAATTTGGAAAACCTTCTCTAATGTATTCCCTGAAATAGGTATTTTTAATATTATCCCAAATAGAACTAAAAATATAGTATAACATAGTATCATTCTGTCCCATACATGGAAAAGGCTGTCCATGAAATCCTGTTAGTAGAGACATCCTATCATTAGGCACAGTGAAACAGGAAGGAAATTAAAGCTGAAACGGTGATGAATAGTACAAATTAATCACCTTAGACCCTTAAGTGCCACCCATCCCTGCCCACACTCTGAAGTAACAGGCTTTCCAGATGTCATCTCCTTTATGGTTGTGAAATGAGTTTGAAAAATAAAAATAGATGACAATAGGTGGAAAAATTAGATGTTCTCATCTTCCATTCAGAGACATGGGTTGATTGTATCAGAGAGTGTAATGTCTATAAATGAAGCCTTTTGAAATTAAGTCTTTAGTCATTAAATACAGGCAGAAATTGCAAAACAAGTTCTTGCTTAATATTCATTGGATGATTTAAATTTGTCTTGGATGCTCAGAAACAAAGTCAGAGAGGAATTACAGTTATTCCCTGGCTTTTTTTTGGATAAATACAGCCTCAAAGGTTTTAGTCACAAAAAGGAGATTCACACCAACCAAGAACTGGTGTGCTTATTTTAGAAATAAACTCACCCCCCCTCATTTCTCAAAACAGACCCAGAAAGTACTTCCTTGAAAGCTTCCAAAGATGATCAACATTTAAATTCTACTGAACACTTCCCTTCCATTTCCTCAAACATTCTAAGCACCACAAAACCTTAAAGCACTTATCTAAACTAGTTTGGTGATCAGCTTTCATGTGGTGCCTTTCACTAATAAAGTTGATAGCTTGAGTAAAAAATGAAACACAGACATGTAAACCTTTCAGAATCACTCTAGACTTCTGTGCAGAGAGAAACAGAGC